TATATATATATATATATAAACTTGATGAGTAGTATTTTGAGCCAAAACAATCCGAACACAAACAAACACATCTTTGTTCGTGTTCGGCTCGTTAACTTATCGAACAAAATTAACGAGCCGAACACGAGCTTCTTAACGAACCGACCCGAGCTGTTCGCGAACAACGAGCTGTTTTGCCAGCCCTAATCCCATACAAATGTACAATACTTTGAAGTAGATTTGCGTTTAGGTACATAATTTAATCAATATCAGTGAACTAGTTAGTAATGATGAATAATTTTTTTCTAGGTTTTGCTTTTAAGTATCATAAAATTTACATTACATCCATGTGTTCTTCACTATTGTTGTTCATGAATTGACTCACCAAATTTACATAACAGAAAATATCAACCTAACTTGAGTGAGATAGATGAGTTTGCCAAAAAACCTATAATATCTACCTTTGTTAACGTGAGCATTGTCATCTTTTATCCCTAGTTTAATATGAAGATTCATGCTAGTATCAAGATTCATGCTAGTATCAAGATTCATGCAAGTATCAATTTGTTTGCATCCAAACATTTAATTCCTTGTAAAATATCAAAAGCTTAAAACATATTTGTATTGAGTGACATTAATGCATATGGGATATGGCACCTCAACCCCTAAGAAGTCCTTCAATTTTTCCAAATCCTTAATTTTAGAGGTATTATTTAAAAGTTTAAAGTTTTCCATCTCATTTATAAAATTTCTTGTAAGGACAATATCATTCATATATACAATTAATATGTTTGATCTCCCTTGAAAACCAAATTCTGTGTAAATCAAATTTGGTTAGCTTTAACATTGAGTGGTACCGATAACACTTGGCAAACTTAGATAATCTGCCAAATCAACTTCAAGGAGATTGTTTGAGCTATAATGAAATTTCTTATGCTTGCACACCTTGTTAAATTTGAACTTGAGTTGAACATATGAGGAATTTTCATGTATATTTTATCTTTGAAATTCTTCATGTAGTAGGGCATTTTAATATTAAGTTGACATGTTATCATCAAGATTGTCTTCAAGGGATAGAAGGTCATGAATACTTTTGAGTCTAGCAACAAGTGTAAAAGTCTCTTGGTGGTTCGTATCATATAATTAAGTATGTCCTTTCCTAACAAAATGGGCTTTAAATCTTCTTGTGTTCTCATTAGCTTTCTATTTGATAGTAGACTGCCATCTACATCCAATTGGTTTTTTTCTTGGAGGTAAATTTGAATTTTTCTAAGTCTTATTTTTTTAAGAACCTTCATCTCTTTATGAATTGATGCTTCCATTTAGGAATATTGATTGTCTCGTCAGTGGATTTAGAACTTATGTTTATGGGTACGACACATTAGTGGGAATAGGTGAATTAGTGCACTAAATTTTTTGTTATTATTAAAAAAAATTATACTATTTACCTCAATCCCTGACCCGCTCGACAATGTGATCAATTGCATCAAAAACATCAGACAACGATCGTGGCATCACCCAAACTATGGTCGAGACTAATCATATTAAATTAAATCAACTAATTATCGCGTATACAATTAGATGCACTCCGTCGACAAATTTAAAATGCCATAATTGCTTAAGTGTTGTTTGACGTTAACGTCATGCAAAATATGCAACGATACAAAAATCAAGTCTAATCAAAATATCTAATTTTCATTTAATATGAATTAGATTTAGGGGTTGTTTGTTTTATTCAAAAATATTTTGTAAATGGAATGCAGGATAATTGAAATATTGTGTATGTTGAAAATTTTTTGAGTTTTTTGTTTAATATAAAATGATAAATGAGTTTATATTTTTGTGTTTGATTTGAAGAAACTTAAAATAAATGTAAAACATGGTTGGGGGAAATAATGCCCAGCAACTAGAAGTGCTTGGCGGCAACAGAGGGGTGGCCGGTGGCAATGAGGGTGCAAAGCGGTTGTCAAGGAAGACAAGTTGTGCCCTGTGATCGACACCAGGTAGCGACCAACGTCTGACAACGAATGGTGGTAGTGGGAGGAGAGCGGCGGCTGCCTGTTGTTGCGACAGCAGCTACGATAAACTATAGGTGGCCAACGAAGGGTGACAACTTCAAGTGGTGTCAATCATAATTGTAGTGACAGTAGGCGAAGATGAGGCGGCTACTTGGAGCAGATGTGGGGCGACGACGAGCAACGCGCTGCAATTTACAGTATTTAAGAATCTCCACAGTCTAATAAATTTGAAATACACTAGTTTTGAACTATGATGTGAAGTTCAAATTCACCAAAATTTTATATTGCATTCCATTTTATCCAAAAAAATACCAAACTTTTAAAAACTCCTCCATCTGATTTACTTTGCACTTGAAATTCAGTAAACTAAACAACCCCCAAGTTAAAAGATTAAAATTAATCTATCTTTTTTATATAATCTTATCTAGTGGTGTAATTGAGTCGAGTCAAGCTCGAGTCACAGCGAACTTGAGCTCGACTCGACTATTAAAAATTAGTTCGTACTCGAGCTCGACCTCAACTTGTTCGCTTGTTACCAGACTTGAGAGCTCAACTACTTTGCTTATTACCAGCTCATGGGCTTAACTCGTCTTGATGGAATTTTGCTAAAATGTCCTTGAAAAAATTGATAGAGCCAATTGGAGAAAGAACTGACAAGATAGGAAGTGGAGCTCACCAGAGAATGTGCCAACAAGATGAAAAGGAAGACTGTCTTGGCGGGAGCTTGCTGTAGAAGGTTTTCTTGGGAATTTGGTTGTCCATGAGAGGGAAAGAAACTTGTTTTGAGAATCTTGAAACATTTAGAGAAGAAAATACTGTGTGCAATTTATGGAGCCTACCTTTGCAGCCTTTTTTTTATAATTGTTTCCTTTGTAGTTTTAAGAAACTTAATTTTTTTACTGTTATATGGAGTCGGCTTGCGAGTTAACGAGCCAAGTTTTATTAAGCTTGAAAGCAAGCCCGTTTAATTTATGGGCTTGAACTCGTGGCTCGGTAAACTTGATTCGTGACTCGTGAGTTAGTTAGCAAGTCAAGTTCGTGTCAATTCATGCTCTAAATCTACTCATTTACACCCCTAATCTTATCAAATTTTTTCTTATTTTTGAAATCTCAAAAATTCAGCTGCATTTACTGACCTTCTATGTCATTCTTTGCGTTCTTAGTTACATTCTATCTTGTTTCAATTGAAGAGAATTAAAAAGGTCTCAAATTTAACAAATATTATTTGTGAGTGGCTCAAAACCCTAACATTAAAAAAAAAAAAAAAATACACACAACCTTCATTGTTCCAACAACTCTCTCCATCACCCTTTCTCCTCTCCTTCCTTAGCTGAGCTCACGTCATTGCTCTCAGCCCCTCGCCAGCCTTCGCCTGTTAGTCAAACCCCAACATATCCTCACAGAGCCTTTTGTTTCCTTCCGTGGTGACCAATTAGCCCAATGACCTCCTGCCACCCCT